AAACAAATCGATGGCACCTAACAATACAGAAGGACACGGGGCAGGAAATACATCAGGAATAGCATCTTCAGCTAAGCACAAGGCCTGGTAGGCACTCAAGTATACAGTTCCTTCTGACCTTCCCCCACACAGTTCATATAAGTCTGTGGATTTTTTCATGGTGAGAAGCCACAGTCCCTTTTCCCACCCATCTTTCATGCCACCTTCATGCATGTCGAAGACCCATATGGCAATTCACAGCTCCCCAAACCAGGCACAGCTCCATAAACTGAGGCAGACATGTTACTTCTCCATTATCTTTAATATTTTCAAAAACACAGTCACCAAGGTAATTTTCAGGCAAACTTCTATCAACTCAAAAATGACGATCATCCCCAGCTGGGTGCCCTCCCCACGCCTTCTAAATCAAATGGCATCTCAGTCTCAAAATGAGACTATCATGGGCCCCCAAAATCTGGTCTCTGAGGGTAAGTCAACAACACTGCTAATAGGTTTCCAGTTCTTCACACATGCACAGGTTTATTCCAAACAAAACATATTGAAACATGTCTGCAATTAGACAAGTTCTCTCAGCAATACACTTGTCTTAGTCTTATAAGTGTGTTCCTCATTTAAAAGATCCAATAAAAATAGTAGTTCCCAAGAAAATCTGTTGGGCCAGATTAAATCCAAGGCAGATCAGCCAGCATAGAATACAGTAACTGTTTTTTAGGGCTTCAAAGGAATAATCTTGAGGGATTTTCTTGAAGGACATAGCATGGTCATGGCGGCTTATTGTGGAGAAGTTTTTAAAAAATGGAAAACTGCACAGATGAAAAAAGAGCCAGGAAAGCTGGGCCAAAGAAGTTTTGCCCATCACCACAGTGTACCTGCTCAATCTTCGAGGGTATCAAAGGCTGTCGTAAAGAATTGCTCTGGAAAATCTTACCCCATTCACCCTACAGCTCTGATCTTGCCCAATTTTTCCCCAAACTCAAAGACCATTGAGAAGAAACAAGATTCATGTCTCTAATTTGGCATGGTGTAAATCACAGAGCACAGAATTCTTCACTAAGAATTAAAGAGAAGGGAGGAGGGGGAAAAGAGGAACTGATTCCACTGGCTCAAGTAGGAAATGTTTTGGAAATGATGATGGCAACATATGTACAAACATGCTTGATACAATTGATGTATGGAATGTTATAAGAGCTGTAAGATTCCCCAATAAAATGATTTTTTTAAGTTAGAGAGATGGAAGTGTACAGGCCTAGATGGAGGATATATTGAGAATCAACAGCTTCACATTTGGATATTTCTGTTTAATAAAGGTGTCTATTTTGGAACAATACTTTTGCCTTACCCTTGTACGTTTCCTAATACATCTCCCATAGGTGATTTCCATATGCAATCAGCTGAGTCTTCCAGCTCACCATATGCTGTTGTGGTCTGCCTCAGAGCATCAACTCATTGGAGGTGAAAATGTGTATTTCCTTTTCCCACAACCTGATATGGCAGCGTTTTCTCTTAAACACTCAAACTTCAGAAAAACATTAGTTGCATATAAAAAACTATTAAAGCTGTGTCAATTATCCTGTTACTGTGAAGAAACGCTATATAATTTTTAAATATCAATGTCTAGATGTCTGATCCTTAGATACATGAAACACTAAATATAGATAAGACCACAGTCTTATCCACACCACTCTCTTGATTCCCACAGGGTAAGAAGGAATCCCAGAGGAAATACAATGACAATTTCTTAATAAGCCTCTCCACATAACTGTACCCAATAATGAGTCTCCTAAGTAGGGTGTATGGCCTTGAGCAAGCGGTCAACAAATTCTTGGTTATTCAACACATTAATTTCAAAACACTCATGATAGGGCTTACTCGGGTAAGTTTGGCTTAGGCAAGCATCAACTCCAGTCTTCAAAAAGAGCTGAGTGCCTTCTGCAATGTCATGTTGGTTATTACTTAACTATCAGCTATGTGATGGCATAGGTTATCATTACTTGTGACTAGATAAGTAATGGAAAACAAGGGTTACCATGTGTAACTGGTATTAAGTCTACTTGTAATTGTAACTTGGGAATGAAAATGTAGAAATTCCATCAATCTCTTGAGCAATATATTCATCTTTCTTTTAAGAGTAACATGCCAATTAATCACTTGGGGGGGCTGATAATTTTATATACAAATAATAAACTTACTAATGTTATTAGTAGTAATACACCAAATCACAAACCATAAAGGAAAACCCTGATAAACTGGATTTTGTAAAAATGTAAAACTTTCTTCTCTTTAAAAAGCAATTAAGGAAATGAAAAAAAACAGGCCACAGACTGGGAAAAGATATCTGTGACCCAGTTTTATATAAAGAATTTGTATCCAGAAAGTATGAAAAATACTTTTAACTCCATAAAATGACAAAAGTTCAGTTTAAAAATAGGCAAAAAATTTAAACAGAAACTTCACCAGTTGTGGTCAAGTTGATTCCAAGTCATAGAGGACCCATGTGTATCTGAGTAGAGCTGTGCTCCATACCATTTTCAATGACTGGTTGGTTAGTTTTGTTTGTTGCTAAAAGTAGATGGCCATGCCTTTCTTCCAAAGCACCTCCGATTGGACTTAACCACCAACGTTTTGGTTAGCAACCAAGTATGTTAACCATGTATTCCTTAGAAGATACACGGTAGTAAATAGGCATATTTTAAAAGCCTATTACCAACAAGTCGATTCCAACTTATAACAATCTTATAAGACAGCGTAGAACTACACCATTGAGTTTCTACAGCTGTAAATCTTTACCGGAGCATACAACCACAAGTTTCTCCCATGGAGTGGCTAATAGGTTCAAATCATTGACCTTTCTGTTAGCAGCCAAGCGGCTTAACCATTACATCATCCGGGAATGCAAACCCAAACCACAATGAGCTAGCACCAAGAAGAATTGCTAAAATAAATTCTGGGATGAATTTAAGGATGCAGAGCAATTGGAAATATACACTGCTCTGGTAGCCACTTTGAAAAGGTTTGGCAACTTTTTACAAAATTAAACAAGCTCTCCTCCACAACTCGGAAATTTCACCCTTAGATATTTATCTAACAGAGATGAAAACATGCCCACACAAAGACTTGCAGGCAAATGTTCACAACTGATTTACAATACTCCAAAACTGAAAACAACCCAAAATTTCCAACAACTTGGGGATAAGTAAGAAAACTGGTGCATTCGTATAGCAGAACACTACTCAGCAATAAGAACAAACATTTTTTTCACAAGAGTTTTATTGATATAAAATTCACATATATACTTCCATCGTTCATTTGCTTTGTAACAAAGATGTTTATACATCATCAAAATCAATTCTAGCTCATCCTCTCCATATTCATGATTTGTTCCCCAATTCCCCTCAACCTGCCCCCCTCCCTGGTAAACTATTACATCAGTTATTGTCTCTATGGCTTACTCCTTCTGTGTTTCATAAACTGGGAAACATAACAGAAACAATAAAAAACAAAACAAAAAATGTTAAGTAAAATTACATAAAGAGGAAGAAAGAAAAGATCACCAGCAATATTTTTAAAAGCCAGAGAGAACATTTCTGTCATGGAACAAGTGAGAAATATTTCAACCAGAGCAAATTCAGGATGAGTCAAGAGAGAGGTCACCTGACCAGGTATTATATATCATAGTTCCATCCAACAAAATCAAGTTTACAACAATCTCTGCCTTACAACAAAGATGTTTTTGGCCCTTAACTGTGGCCTGAGGAGATCTGCCAGAAGCTTAATCCAAAAAGGTACTCTGTAGATGGATTTTGGGCTCCCACTGACTTCCATAGCCTTCTACAAATTGGGTGTTCGCAATTTAAGCTCTGATACATTTTCCTTCATCATACTCGGCTTTTGTTATTTGTTATCTTCTTCCATGTAGACTTGTTGAGGCCTCACTTAGATAGCTGCTTGTATTCTTTGAATACCAGCCTAAAAGACCCCAGATACTACTCTAATTGGTACCTGCACACCGTCTGCTTTCTTCACCACACTTTGCTATATAGCACCCTTAGCTTCAATGATTGCTTCATGAAAGCGAGTATGGAACAGGGTCATGTCATAAGAACTAACTGTTCTTGGATTGGGGCTAGAATTAACTGGAAGCCCAGAATCCATCTGCTTGTCCATAGGTTATGTACAACACTGGTTTACTTTAGCAGTCTTAATATCATTTTATGACCAAAAAAACACATTGCCACTCATCCCTCTGGGGTATGATTCCATTGATAACATCGATAATTTATCCAATGGCATAGAATTTAAGGTACGGTTGGCAAAGGAGGTCATTGAGCATACTCCAGCTGCAAACCATAACCCAGGCATTGTACCAATTAAATTCTTAAATGATTGAACTCTGTTTACATTGACCACAGGATTGGGGCTAGGGGGAGATTTCCTGTAACATTCCTTACAACGGCAGATCCTTGCCTATCAGATTAATATATGTCATATTAATGGAAGGAGAGCAATAAGATAGTAAATATATGTGGTGGTTCTGGGTCCCCTTTCAGTGGATGATTGCTAAGCCAGGGATCCTAAGGCCCAACGAACACCAATTCCACAGTCTTGGGGTGGCTGTCATTTGTTTCTTCTCTGATCAGGAAAGTTCAGTCTTAAATCCAAGGGGTACAGGCAATTTTAAAGTAAGACCCGGTTCCTTCAGTGGGGTTTTCATTTAGAGTCCTTCTGGTGTGGTCTATGGGGGATGCCTTGTTCCCCGTAAGGCCAGAGTCTAAGGTCATCATAGTGCATAGTCCATGGTGTGGTTTCACCGAGGGTTGGGTAGAAATGAATTCAATGGTGCCTGCGGCGTGGCCCCGGCCACGGGGGAATTCCCGCGGGCGGCCTCGCGCCCAGGACGCGTGGGGGGCTGTTGTGTTGGTGGCGGGGGGCGGGGAGCCGCAGGGGCACCAAACTAGGAGCCGAGGGTGGGCCGGCGCTGTGCGAGCAAGCAGCTTCCAAAGATGGTCAGAGGGTCCGGAGGCGCCCCCGCCCCCGCCCCTCGCCCCCGTCTGCCAGCCCCGCCGCCAGAGGATTGCATCTGTCTTTTCAAGGATTCATCGCATCCAGTGGATTTTCTGGATGCTTTCAGAACGTTTTACTTGGATGGATTATTTACTGATATTACCCTTCAGTGTCCTTCAGGCATAATCTTCCATTGTCACCGCGCTGTTTTAGCTGCTTGCAGCAACTACTTTAAGGCAATATCTACAGTTGACATGAAAGAAAAATTCAAAAGTAAAATAAAACTCTCTGGCATCCACCATGACATTCTGGAAGGCCTTGTAAATTATGCGCACGCCTCCCAAATTGAAATAACGAAGAGAAATGTTCAGAGCCTGCTGGAAGCGGCGGATCTGTTGCAGTTCCTCTCAGTAAAGAAGGCTTGCGAGCAGTTCTTGGTAAGGCACCTGGATATTGATCATTGTATTGCAATGCACTCCTTTGCAGAATTCCATGTGTGCCCAGAACCAGAGAAGGAATCACGAAGAATTCTGTGTTCGAGGTTTAAGGACGTATGGCAGCAAGAGGAATTTCTGGAAACCAGTCTTGAGAAGTTTCTTTCTATCTTGTCCAGAAAGAATCTCAGTGTGTGGAAAGAAGAAGCTATCATAGAGCCCGTGATTAAATGGACTCCCCATGATGTAGAAAACCGAATAGAGTGTCTATATAATCTACTAAACTATATCAATATAGATACAGATCCGGTGTACCTTAAAACAGCTCTAGGCCTTCAAAGGAGGTGCCTCCTAACGGAAAATAAAATATGATCTCTCATATACAATGCTCTGAATCCTATGCATAAAGAGATTTCCCAGAGGCCCACGGCCACCATGTATATCATAGGAGGCTATTACTGGCATCCTCTGTCAGAGGTTCACATATGGGACCCATTGACAAATGTTTGGATTCAGGGAGCAGAAATACCAGACTATACTAGGGAGAGTTATGGTGTTACCTGCTTGGGACCCAACATTTATGTCTTGGGGGATACAGGACGGATGACATAGAAGCTCTAGACATAGTGCGGATCTGTAACAGTGAAAGCGACGAGTGGATGGAAGGTCTGCCAATTCTCAATGCCAGGTATTACCACTGTGCAGTCACCCTGGGCGGCTGTGTTTATGCTTTAGGCGGTTACCGTAAGGGGGCGCCCCAGCAGAGGAGGCCGAGATCTATGATCCATTAAAGGAGAAATGGATTCCTATGGCAAACATGATTAAAGGTGTGGGAAATGCGACCGCCTGTGTCTTACATGAAATCATCTACGTCATTGGCGGGCACTGCGGCTACCGAGGAAGCTACACCTACGACAAGGTGCAGAGCTACAATTCAGATATCAATGAGTGGACTCTCATCACCTCCAGTCCGCATCCAGAATACGGATTGTATTCAGTTCCGTTTGAAAACAAGCTGTATTTAGCTGGCGGGCAGACTACCATCACCGAATGCTACGACCCTGAACAGAACGAGTGGAGAGAAATCGCGCCCATGATGGAGAGGAGGATGGAGTGTGGCGCCTTCATCTCGAATGGCTGTATTTATATCACTGGAGGATATTCCTACTCAAAGGGAACGTACCTTCAGAGCATTGAGAAATACAACCCAGACCTTAATAAGTGGGAAATTGTGGGTAATCTTCCAAGTGCCATGCGCTCCCATGGCTGTGTGTGTGTGTACAGCGTCTGATCAAATCCACACAGTAAGTGACCGAGGAGTATTTGCTTCTTGGGGGTAGAGTTTTTTCTTTAAAACAAAAGAAAAATCTCTTCTTTTTCCCTTGTTATCATGACCTGGCCCATAGTAGGGGGTTGGTAATTCTTAATTCCTCAATCTTACTATACACATAAGCCCAGTGATTCATGGGGAAGAAAGTCTTGGGTCTGTGCAGTTGAATCAGTGGGATTGTCACCTAAAATCTCTGATTTTTAAAGCTGATATGGGATACTGAGCCCTTGGTAAAAGGTGAAATTACCCTTGTGATTGGTCTTTTGCTCCTGGCAGCATTAACACTGGGTGTAGTGTAGGTCAGAATCATTCTGAGCTGCAGTGTCTCGTCGCCCTAAAAAGTAGTAGACAGGGTGCATGTGGGTTCTCTTTAGTTCGCAAGAAGTTGAGATTCAACAAGAGAATCTCTTCTACCTCTCCAAAGTCAGCACCTACACAAACACAGTTCTTTTTCACTGATAGAATTAATCTAGACTATGGACTAAATCCCTTTGCTTTGTAGTGTATGTAATTTATTGTGCATGGGTTTTTATTGTTCTTTTTTAATGTACTGACCGTGAGAGAGAGATAAAACAGTGTGTAAAAAAAGTTCATTACTGTTCAAACGTTTACAAATGAAATGTAAGCGAATGACAAATCTGAAAGAAAGAAAAAACCACGGAGAAAATAATTGAATACTTGCTGAGGCTAAGGGCTGTTTTTAATTTTTCCACTTTGATGTAAACAGCTAGTTTTGGGATCTTTACGCATGCTATAAAATTCCTAATTCTACATGCTTGCATATAGACATTGAGTTTAGCACTAGAAAGCTGGTAGAACAGTTAAGAGATTTAAAAAAATATGCTGAGTCAAATTTAAATTTGACTTGCTGTTTGGGGATATAATTTGGGTTTTTTGTTTTTATTTTTGGGGAGGTGTTGTTTTTTTCTAAAGAATTTTTTTTGGGAAATACTTCCTAGCTCTTCCAATAAGAAAGGTGGTGACCTTGGTGGCGCCTGTGGGTCATCGTGTGCCTGGATCTGGGTCCCTTAATTTCTTGGCCCACCCAGAGGCCACCTGGGTGGCTGGAGCCCTGGACGAGAAACCCCTTAGCCCGAAGTGCCTGCCCTACCAGTTTTCATGTGGCCATAACCTTGCTGGCGCCAACACATCTAAACTTTTAGTCAAACATGAAACCCATCTGTCCCCAACCCTTGGGGTTGGGTTTTGGTCTTTTAAAAAAACCCCACTGCTGTTGAGTGGATTCCCACTCATTGCAACCAGAATAATGTTAGTAGGAGCCCTCGAGTTGGTTCTTGGCTTTCAGGGACCCCCACGTTCAACCGAACGAGACACCACCCTGCCCTGTGCCATCCTCCCAGTATTCAACTTTATTACGGACGTCTAAAAACTACCTAACGCTTCTGGTTTATTTCTGTTTAAAATTTGGGGAAGGAACTGTGGAAGGTGATTTAAAATAGATCCTTTGGGAATGCAGTATGGTACACCACAAACCAAAGCCCAGCCAAACTCTGCCGGTCAGTCCATTTCTTTCTCCTTTTTTGAGGGGGGGAGGGGTAGTGGTGGTGGTCAGTCCCTTTCTACTCCAAGTGACCCTGTAAGACTTGGAAACAGGGTTTCCAAGACTGTCAATCTCATGGGAGCAGATAGTTGGTACGACATTGCAAAGAGCCATGAAGACGACCAAGCCCCCCACTCCCGTTCACAACCTACGGGATAATTCAAAAGGGGGTGGGGGGGGAAGTAACTGCATGAAGATGTTTATGTCTGCATTATGTGTGGTAGGAAAAATTGGAAGTAATTTTGTGTCAAGAAAAGTAGTGAAGTGCTGTACAGCCATTAAAGGAATTCTCTGGTGACTGTGGGGAAACGTGGATGTGTCTGATACACAGTAAGGAAAGCAAGCACAGTGGAGTCAAGTGTTCACCACCATGGTGACCCTGTCAAATCTGTATGCATGTGATGGAATGCAAAACTGAAATTCACTGGTTTTTCAGGGTAGGGAGGGGTGGCAAGGGAGATAATGAATGAGGTTTAACTTATTTTAATATTAGTGCTTTGTGTTTTCAATAAAATTAAATAAAACTGTGGGGGGAAAAGAAATGAATTTAATGGCATCTAAAGAGGAACATAGTCCTGGGTTTATTCTCCCCTTGAGTTCCCTATAATTATTGTTGAGCATCTCTTCCCGATGTGAGGTTGCTCCTCCCCATTTACCCACTAACAGAAGTATAAATGTCGCCTCTAAAATCTAGGTGCAAATAAATAAATATACAAACCAATACAATCTAGATGCTCTCCACCACCCCCAGTCTTAACTTGACTATCCAGGAAGGTTCCCTTCTCATTCCCGTGGGAATGGCTGTTGATATGTTGAAAACTTGTCTCAATGGGGTATAGCATCAAGGGAATGCTCTTCTCCCCGCCCCCCCTTGCCCCCCACCACCACCACCATCTTCTCTAAGGAGTAACCCTGGCCAATGTGAGGTCTCCTCTTTCAAGGTGGTTCTGATGAAGCACATATAAGGAGGGTGATACATGGTTCATGGTTGGAAGGCAGGCTTTCTACCCCGTTGTTTGGGAATTGGGCTCTAAGATTTAATAAGAACAAACTTTTGATACATATGACAACATAAATGAATCTCTAAAACATTAGGCTAAGTGAAAGGAGCTATACAAAAAAAGCTATCTACTGTCCGATTTCGTTTATATGAAATTCTAGAAGAGATAACACGCAAACAAAAAAACCAAAATCCCTCACTGCCATCAAGTCGATTGTGACTCATAGTGACCCTATAGGACAGGGTAGAACTGCTCCTGTGGGTTTCTAAGACTGTAACTCTTTACAGGAGTAAAAAGCCCTGTCTTTCTTCCTCAAAGTGACTGGTGGTTTTGAACTGTTGACCTTGCAGTAGCAGTCCAACTTGTAACCAGATACCACTAGAGCAGTGGTTCTCAACCTTCCTAATGCCGCAACCCTTTAATACAGTTCTTCATGTTGTGGTGATCCCCAAACATAAAATTTTTGTTCTACTTCATAACTGTAATTTTGCTACTGTTATGAATCGGGCGACCCCTGTGAAAGGGTCGTTAGACCCCCAAAGGGGTCTCAATCTACAGGTTGAGAACCGCTGATCTAATAGATAAAGGCTGGAGGTGCTACTAATTATCATATCATACACAGGCTAGGCCCAACCCAAAGAATCTTCCAGTCCAAAAGTTTAATGCTTTCAAAATTGAGAAACTCTGATCTACTGTGTTTCTTTTAGACAGCATATAGTTGAATCCTGGGTTGATGGTTTGTTCATTTTTTCTTTCTTTTTTAGCTGGACCATGTACTGAAAAGGGCAACAGTGAGTAAATCCCCCCTTCATTGCCAACGATATGCTAGGAATCAGTATGTATCCAATTCCTACTGGAAACAGACCTTTCTCATTCTAATTCTAATTCTTTATCCTCATCATCAGTTACCCAAGTGGGCCATAGTAGTATGGGACCACTAAAATGATTGTGTGTGCTAAATCAGTAAGAGCAACCTTAAAATTAATGGGATAAGTATAATTGTTCCATGATCTTTCAAATAATTTGTTAAAGCATTAAAGGCTCACATTGAAAACTATAAAACATGGCCGAAGAAATTAACAAAGATCTAAATAAATGGGAAGGCATCCAGTGTTTATAGATCATAAGGCTTGATATGGTTAAGATGTAAAGAACTGAGTTTTTAATCCTCAAGGAAGCCAAATTTCTGGATTCCATAGAAATTGAGGTGGTAGTATAGTGGTCAGAAGTTTGAAACCACCAGCCACTCGGGGGGAAGAAGATGTGGCTTTCTATTCTGATAAAGATTTACAGCCTTGGAAACTGACAGGGGCAGTTCTACTCGGTGCCGCTGGGTGACTCTGAGTTGGAGTTCACTGAATGGCAGTGGGTTTGGGAAGTTAGACCCAAGTTATTGTCCTGAGATAATCTATGAACATGAGCCTTGAGAACATTGGCTTCTTAAATATCACCTCTAAGTCACACAATAAACCAAAAAACAAACTCCTTGACATTAAGTTGATGGCAACTCATAGCAACCTAATTGGACAGAATAGAACTCCCCCTGTGAGTTTTCAAGACTATAACTCTTTACAGGAGTAGACAATAGTCTAGCTTAATTGCTGAAGAATATTTTGCTTTGTGCATGTATGTGCTCTTCTAAAGAATTATTTGTATGCACCTTTGATAATAGAGACTCAAAGGTCAGACCATAGCTATGGTGTAGGAAGAAAGACAAGTTATTCTGGCCCTGTTTCCATGGCAATGTATAATTTCTAGTGGTAAATTGGAGTGTAACAATCTGTAAA